ATAACTAATACCGCAGCACTCCTGTCAGCAGGAGGTAGCACCAATGTCGTAACAAGGGCGCTACCGATTGGTATGTTATATTTTTTAATCTGGCCTCGTCGCTTCTGAAGACGAGCAGGGGTGAAATCCGCAACCTCCGGTCAATGGTGTGCCGCTGGGGAGCCCGGCGAAAGACGAGCAGACGAAAACACAACACAGTGATAAAATCAACTTACGTAGATCTCCATTTTTCTGTAGAGACCATAGTTCAGCAGAAGGTTGTGGGTCATGCGTATCCGGTGGGGTTTCATGGGATGACCTTGACCATAGTAATAGTTTCCGACATCGCCTGTGAAAAAGAAAAGTTCGTGATACATGACCCATGTTCCCGACTTGAAGCGTGCGATGAACACGTCGAGCAGGCACTCTGGGCCAACAATAATGTCACCCGGCCAAAAAGAAAATACGACACCTGTGGGAGTCAATGAAAAGCAGATGTACCAACATTCGCAAACAAAATCTGCAATGCAAGAAATCTAAAATTGTTGCAAGGGAACCTGGAAAGAATTTCCAGCCACACACATGTACCAAAGACACGCGAACACAGGACAAAGACAGCTTACTGTTTCACACTTGTCACCCACACAAACATGGGAAAGCTCAGAGAAAGCACACAAACAGCTCATATCCACCCGCGGAGCATGTGAAAGGCGGCAAAGAAAATCGCACGCGTCTAGTTGGTGTTCTCTGACGCACCCAGGCGCCGCCCAATAGGCCGTCTCTCTTTCGCCAGCAGCAGGGGTGGCACCAGGCCCTGGCACGCACGAGGGGGAAGGCACGCCCCAAGAGGACGTATGCGTCCCTCCAATGAGCGACAACCTTGGCATGACGCTCCCAGCAATGGACTGTTCAGTGTGTACATCAGGCGGCCCAGTAACAACAAATAACCATAGAGCTCCTCAGGATGGGAGAATCTCATGCTGCAATAAGATGAGACCTGAAACACACTGGTTGTAGCATGACAGCCAGTGTATCAGACCCATGAGACAAAGTGACCCTCCAAAAAGTAGTATAAGAAAACACCAATAATTCTGAGTACCAAAACCCAGTGAAGAGACTTGCTTCCAATCAATGATGCTTTAAATGCCTGAGCCATCTTTTCTGCAAAACTAGCTTTCCCTATGCATCACATATGATGTAGGCTTATCTGCTGAAAACCTTTGGTACTATGCCTTGTTGAAAACAACACATCCATATGGTATACCTGCAATGAACTGGCTTGTAATACTAGGGGCCTGCTAGGACTCAGCCATTATGACAATGGTTTGAATTATGTTGACTAAAACTGACAACACTTACTAATCAACTAATTTGGCAATACACTATCAGCACAATATCTGCATGTCTATTGCCTGGAGAAATGACAATTGTGCAGTTTTTGTACAAAAGTGATTGTGGCAACTGGGGTCTTAAATGGCAATTCTATCTCGGCAACACAATAATCAAGACTATTTATCAGCTAAATTTCTCAGAGTACAACATTTTGCATTCAGTCCAGCAATAGCCATTGGACACTACATCTTGGATTACACAACACCAATACACTATGTGTACTTCACACACTATCACATGCAAGGGACCCCAATCCTCAGCTTTTCATGACCTGGTGAACAAATTTGCCTTTGATTTGGCTGACCCAATGGTGTCAGATGAGTAGTTAAGAGCTGGTCTGCCCATTGAATTAATGACAATGTTACAATGAATATTGTCCACTGTGCAGCAGCTTGATGCTCTACCCTGCAAGCTGGGGCCAATCAGCTCAGCACAGCTGCCTATCAGGAGAGTTATTAAAGAAAGCCTGACACACTTATGACATAATATCAGCAGCTTCTACAGTGCCATCAAACAGTACAAATGGGTAAATGGTTCCAATGCAACTTACCAATCACAAGATTTTGGGCCAGGCTAAAAGCTAGCAGAAAGTTCTGAGGCAGGTATTTGTAGAACATGATAGTTCTGAGGCTAGCATTTGTAGAACACAATATGCCAGACATTCTCTTACCAATCACAAGATTTTGGGCCAAGCTAAAAGCTAGCAGAAAGTTCTGAGGCAGGCATTTGTAGAACTGATAGTTCTGAGGCTAGCATTGTAGAACACAATATGCCAGGAACATTCTCAAGTACTTCACAGGGTCAACACAAACTCCTGCTGGACAAATAACTGAGGAAAATGCCAGGAATATCCCTCCTGGGTAACTCAGCTGGTATAACGCTGGAACTCGAAGTCAGAGGATCCCAATTCAAATCACAGTAAATCCAAGAAGAAATTTAGCCTGACACACGCACATGACTGAAAGCTTAAACGGAGTCCTAGCAAAACATCTTTTCCCTTTGCATTACTATCCTTGCCCTCAATCCTTTCATTAACCAGGAAAATATTATTCAAAATGAGATCAATGGCATCGGCATGTCTACACAAAAATTTCACCTGTGATCCACACATGCATCTGACACAAATGGCAAGACAGGATATTATAATCAGATGTTTTTCCCCAGTGCTGGACATGCTATGAGACTGGCTAGTCAAACATCTAATAATATGCAATCTGTTTAGATATATCTAGTAAGGGGAAATGAGCCCACACCATGGCCTTGTCCCCCCCAACAAAAATCTGTACAATTTAGTTCGCCCTCTTCTATCTGCTATCTCACCAACACCTTGTCACCTTGAGTTTCACGCTACAGTAAAACATTGAAAATGACCACCCTAAGCATCCTTGATGTTGCTATGATGCTTAGGACACTGACATTTATCACATGGCATTTATGATATGGCACTTATGACACTCACACTTGACATTCCATCATTTATTAAAAAAGTATCAGACTTCAGCTTGGCATGCAAGTATTATGGGCAATCATTCAATAAATATATTTAAAAGCTGACAGCCTGTCAAACCTGACACACTGGTTATCCCAGCATTGGTAACTGAGGTAATTTCCCAACACCTCCTATCTTTATCTTAGAACTTATGATGCTAAAGCAAAGAATAGTCAGACATAAGGTAATCTCAAATAAAACTGCACAGAATGAAACTTTCAGGCATAGTGTAAAGCCAATGAGACTCTGTTACATTGATTGATCAGTCATCAGGCATACACTTATAAGCATCTATAATTTCAGACAACTGCATGTCAGTTATGCCTCCTTTAAAGGAACACCTAGGCAAGTGTGATAGAATCAATACTTATCTCAGTGTTTAATGATGCCATATTATATTCTATATCAACAATAATAAAAGCAATATTCCTAACCTCACACTTAGATGCATTTAACTGGCATGACCATCATCAGCATATAGCTAAGCAAAGGCTGAAAATTGGTTGTACCCTAAAATTGCATACAATGTTTTTAGGAAACATTCTCTGGCATAGCAAGGATGTGAAAGTTTGGACAGCAATTAACATAATTTTGATGATGGCTGACAGAAAACAAATGATTATCCTAAAGTAATCAGGCCTTATGCAAATCTGCAGACCTGCCTAGCCTGCAATGCAGTGAAAATGCACCACATGGTCTAGAATAAAGATATAAAAAGTGTACAGGGTGCTACAGGGCTGCAGACTAGTTCACGAGACAGCTCAATGACAGCTCTAGATGACTACATAACACTGATGCACTGAACCTGGCACACACATTGTGAAAAGTAAGGCCAGGCTAAGAAGCTGACTTTGGAATATCATAATATATGATAATTATTGCTTTGAGAACTGAAATTATGCCTGTCCAGTATCATGCACTCAAATGAAAGTTGGAATGTCACACTATGCCATACATGTTGAGCATAATACATGGGCTTGGAGTTCAGGCTATGAAGGGTCCAGAACTCTCAGGAACCTGTGTAATCTCAATGGAACATTCAATGTATCTAAATGGACTTTCAACACAGATTCCCCATGGATTCCCTGTGGCACCCACCCTTCCTGCCAGGGTGAGAGGCAGGCGATGCCATATAGCCTCAGCAGCTGAGTGTGTCATAAACCCCTAATGATATGGCATGAAATCACATTTAGCTAAATTCCAGTTTTAGATAAAAAATACAATCGAAATTATGACAAAATCAAGAGCCTCTAACAAATGCTCCAATAAACTGAGCTGCACCTCTGGGCCTTACATGGTTTCCATGCTAGCTTTACAAAGTGAAGCACTGCATCTTCAGATCATCTTCAGAAATATAACAAATGCATTCACGCTAAAGAACTGCAATTCCAAAAAGCGCACCAACAAAGATAATATTTTGGGGTTAGGCCGCATTCGAATGCACTTATTTATAAATTCAAATGCCGTTTCAAAGGGTTGTAGACAACTACGGCGCAAAGGCGCCGGCGTCCAAATTGAATGCACAGCGTCTACATCGTCCACCCCTGGGGCAACAAATAAATGCCAAAGTAGCCCAAACATTCCTATTGAGACAACTCACTGTCGTAGTAATAGCACACCCTCTTCTTGCTGTGCGTTGGCGCGGCCATCCCTCCAAACCACCCGGTCCCCTGCCGGGCAAAACACGAGAGGAGCGAGCAGTGACCTCTGTGTCTACTTGTGCAAGTTGCTCAACCGGGCTACAAAGGGATTTTTTTAGTGATCATTCCGAGATACGAACTAAGTTTCCGTTGGATATCTTAAATAAAAACAACATAGAATCTTCCCAGGAGATAATTAGTATAAAGAGATCGAGCGGGTTCATATCCTGCAGGTGGTGTTTTCGAAATCCTGTTCACGTACTTAACCCAAGTAATTATATCGTTCGAAGTGTTTGCTGGTTTGACAAGTATACGTTATATCGAAAACAATTTTTAAAATAATGTATAGTTCATGTGCTTATCTAAAACTATTTTTGGTTACCAATGTATAGCGAACCTCTTGATAATTCATGACAGACAATCTTGAAGTTCTTACTACGATTATCGCGCACTTGATCAGTTGCGAGGACATTCGTTGGGAGTGGGCTGCGCGTTGCGGCAGGAAGTGGGGGAGGCGGGTCTTGGCGGCAGGTGCGCATGCCGTTTTTGGAATTGGGAAGGAAAGTACGCAGTGATTTTAAAGACAGCAAATAATGCCGAGAAAATCGATGCCTCTCGCGCCGCGAAGACCGACTACGATGAAATCGAACTCAATGGCGTCGAAACTGAACCTTGCGGTTTGGAACCGTTGTAAGAAATCTGCACACGAGTGGATGTCGATGTGAGGATTATTCATTTGGATGAGGAATTAGATTTCAGTTTGCAATGTTGCATAATGGGCTGTTGGCACATGTCCTCATGACTATCAATTAGGTTCCTTGTGCAAGGAAAAATAGTGCACAAGCCAGGGCCTCACTGTTTCATCTGAATTGAACAACTCAAGCACCTTGTGTGGCATCCTAGTTTTTAGTTACTGCATGCCTCACTCAAATAATGATTAACCCATGTCAAACCACCACTTTCTGCCTGCTGATAGGCATAGGCATTGCCTTTATGGCCTCAAGATCATCAAAGTGTTGGCTGGACAATGGTGACAAGGAGATAATATCAATATGTGAAGGCCAAAAACCAGTTGGAAATATGTGTTGCCTTATCTGCCATGCAACCATTGGGGACTGCTTTCCCTTCCATGGGTCAAAGGACCTGGTGAGAAGTGTCACTCTGAATGGTAGCAAAGCCATTCTGAAGATGAAGAATCTGTCCATCTTAAGTGAAGAATATATTCAGTCACTTGTAAGCTTTGAAAAGCATGCTGACCAGCAAGCTGTTTTTGCAAATGCACTGCAAGGTCTTGTTGCCTTTGAAATAGGCAATGATGATAGTATGGATGTGCAGAACCTGCTATGGCCTTGGCAGGACATCGCTGATCTCTTCAATGAATCCAAATGGCTGGAACTGAGGCAAATCCTGTGGTTTGCTCACAATGATGAGTTCAAGTTGATGCAGCTGCACCAGCACCTGTCAGTGTTTCCAGAACTACTGGGCACCTGTGGCAACATGTATGCCGTGCAGCATGTGGCAATCCTGCTAGACAGCCCATTGCTGGACATGCTGCCTGCCTTCATGGACATTTGCCATGCAGCCCGCAGTGTGAGCCGCATCCTACAGTACCTGCGCCGCCTGGTGACTGCCTTCCCAGGTGGCCTGCACCTCTGTGACCTCAAGTGGAGCCACTTTGGTGAGGCCCCAGATGGCCGACTGCGCTTCATTGACCTGGATGCTGCCTTCCTGCCAGCCAAGATGGCCGCTACACAGCGAGCGACTGACTGCCGCGCCGACGCCGACTGTCACTTCTTCGACTGCCGTGGCACGTGCGACCAGCGCCGCGGCCGCTGCCGGCCGCAGGTCAGCGACAACATCAGCAATTTTTGCCGGCAGCTGGTGTGGCCGCGCGCAGCGCTGCTGCCTGGCCGGCTGGGCCTGCTGGGCTGGTTGCTTGACCCCGAGGAGGCGGCGCTGCTGGAGCGGTGCGCCGAGGGCGGCGGCGCGACCCTCGCTAGCCAGGTGCAGGAGCTGCTGGCGGCGCTCGAGGACAGACTCTGCGACGCCGGTTGAGCAGCGGGCCCGGCAATGGCGAGGGCCTGTCGCTGGGGCGATGCCACCGGGCAAGCGGAGTCGTGCTTGGTGCTCGGATGGTCGGCAAGCTGTGATGCGACTTGGCTGAGTATTGTTCTGTGAAGTGCGCTTATGATTACTCGGTACAAATCGTTATGGAGGCATGTTGTGTGCACAGGTATTTGGTTAAACCAATGGACTTCCATTATATTTCATATTTTGATGAGGGACTAGATATTATCTTGATTAGAGAGTCTTCCGAAGTGGTTTGTTTATGGCTGTATGGCTTTTTTGCTTCCATGTAGATTAGGACCATTTCAGCCACCAATGATCACTTCTGAACTTTATGATTAAAGGCGGTGTAGAGTGGTGAAGTGAGACTGCTTGCATATCAGTGTTCTGCTACAGGGCCTTATCCTGCGCAGGGATCCACTTTCGCCCGCGGGAGCTCATGTTGGGTCAGAGGAGGCGCGTCGTAGCCGGCTCGTGGCTGATGCATAGAGCTCGCTCCCGATAGACGGGGCGCTGCGCCGATTCAGGACGAAGCGTGAATGAGGGAAGAAGTATGGTTCCGTTCTTTGAAGAAAAAAAGTTGTCTTGTTATTGCTGCTAGTATCACATTGTTCCCACGCTGCCTATCCAAACAGTCTGCATTATCTTGTGATGCATATTCCACGGTCAAATGAGCTTAAGATGTTTGAGCGAAGTCCCCTTTTTGCACTGAACTGGATGCGCGGTGAATGGTTCATGAATGTTCTGCACCAAAACGAAGACTGGAAATATTTGCAAATTCACGGATGCTCGTTGCGCCTGTCGTGGTACAACGGGCATCACAGTGACAGTGCCTTTTTGGTAATACCTCGTTGGCTACGCGTTAAATGCCCTTCATGTTTGGTTAAAACTGTCGTAAGCTTAGAGCCAAAGCATTCCTGCATTGGAATGCTTGCGCTGGTTGCTCTTGCATTGCGTTGTATGGCACTGTGTCGACGCACAAACTGTGATTACCCTGCTCCGTTTGTATATGTGCCGTTTGGTGTCTGTTGTTTGGCGCTGATGCTGTGCTGTGTCACGGAGGTTGTGGTGATCGGTGATCGAGCCGCCGTGGCTGCGTCGTGGACCAAATACATTTTGTGATATATCTGATCACAAATCTTTGAATTAATCTAGCGGGCCTTTCCAGTGCCGTCTTTGCTCGAACACAGTGCGGGAGAAATAACAAATCTAAGCACGAAGACCACGTCATGTCTCAGATTTTAACGGCAAAGTTGTGCTGGGGATTGGCTGATGCATGGAATCCCCTTGCCACGATGTGAAATCCCTGTGACATGTGGATCACAAGGTATGTCCCGAGGCCCCTTCATATCCTCTTCGTCGGAATGTTCTTAGCGCTGCGGGACATGCAATAAAGTGCGGAATATGCACAACGTATATATTTTCGAGATTACGCGCATTCGTACGATGGAACAGAAAAGAAAACTGGTCTAAGTCAATTAGGAACAGTGTGCTCGTGACCTGGGTTAAAGGTCATCACTTCGGCATCACACAGTGATCGTTCTTAATCTTTGATAGATCGAGTTTCCATAGCAAGAATAATATCCGAGGTTACGAGTATCTAAATAGGCTTCCCATCGCTCAAAGCATGGCCCTTGTCACTCATTTGGCATTCGGATCTCACCTAGATGGAGCGTTTGTCCACCAAGTGGCATGCCACTAGTGCATTTTTGATTATTCAGGTTCCTCTACAAATTGGCAGTAGTAATTTGGTGCGTTGAAGCACCTAGTGCGGGTTAAGGATCAGCTGTGTCTGGTCTATCGGTAGCAATATATATAGCCCGGTCTGTCCGTACTACTTGACGCACGCGTTTGGCGTCACATCGTCAACAAAAATTTGTGAAATATTACCATGTAACATAGTTTTGCATTACAAAAGCTATAAAACGCCGGCACTAAGTGACAATGCTCGTGCAGGCGATGATCCAACAAGCTGTGAGCGAACAATGTTTCTACGCAACGCATCCTAAATTTTACCCAAGACGTTTAGATACCTGATGCACACTGGAAAATAAATAATATCACCCTTTCTCCAATGGCTGTGAACTGGTCTCCTGTTTTTTTTTGTTTTTTTTTTAATCACCCAAACCAATATCCCATCGTTGCTTGACAGCCGATCTGCTTCATTTGAAACAAACTGACATTGTTTTGAGTGCTTGAAATTGTCTCGGCTGTAGCGAATCATGCGGGGGGATTCTCGGTCATGCCCGCGATCTCTGACTTTTTATGATGACCGTCCCGATATTGATGGCCATTTTCTATGTGCAAGGTTCTCACATGTCCTTGACTCGGAGAATGTGCCGTAATAGCACGGGTCAGGCTCTGTCTGGCTTCGGCTCACTTTACTATCCCGGCTCCCGCAATGCCGCCACATGCCGTCTCTCCATGAGATTTACCTCCTAAAGTCACGCTCAGCAAGCGTTCCAAAATCTATGCATTGATGAGTGAAGTCACCGCCCACACGGGGTGGTCAATGTGCCTCCCACGGAGGTTTCCCAGAATATTTTTTCGAAAGGTAGACATAACCGAGCTCAATTTTGTTCCTCTATCAGCAATCACGAGCCTATTTTATATAAACATTAGATATAACGTGGCCTGCGGCGCATCTATCCGCTGCGGGCTACGTACCGCTTTTTCCGGCGTGCGAGAACGGTTTTGTTTGTCACATTAGGCCCGGTCACTCGTTCCTGACACGCGCGCCCGGAACATCAATAGGAGTCAGTCCTTAAAAAAGCCGACCCCGGCAGAGGAATACACAACCACAGTCGCGAATATAGAAACAATCATGGTGGCGGAGACAAATACAGTCGAACGGATATTGGGACGGACAGCGGCGTCGGGAGACCGTATCCGCCCGCGCCGACGGCTGGGCGCTGAGCGTCTTCGCCTCAGCAAAACGTAAGCCCGGCGGGGCATTGCCGACCCTTAGGCGGCTCCCTAATGTCCCGGCCCCTTTATATGCTTTATAACCCTGCGTTGTGTTTGTGTACTCTAAAAAAAGTTCTGCAGTAATGTACAGATTACGTACTCGTATACCATTTCTGATCCGTTGTGTCGTGTGCACTCCTTCCGTATTTGCATCGTAGCATAGAAACCACCATCCTAATTTACAAATATGCCGCTAATTTGCGGTGTTAAATGGAGTGCTTACCCCGCCCCGGGTAATGGTGTTAATAATACACTAACACTACCACATGTCAAACCACATGAGTGGTTTCGGTCTATATGCTTTGGAGTATTTTTAAAGCAAGTTTTGTTATATGCATTGTTAGCTGCATACCACAGCAAAGACAGCGCGTCTGGCCTTTTTGGTTATTTGCGCTTGGCTCCGTTTGGTGCGGTTCTCGTTTTCGAGGTAATTTTGCCGAAGTTCACCTATTTTCTGATGTTTTGATCACGTGACGCACAGAGGAATGCATAAGAATTCGGTTTTCATCGTACTCCTGGAATGCACAGATCTCAGGTATTTAAGAAATAAGATTTCCATGCTGCCTGGTCTAATTTAAGACAAAATTCTGCATGGTTGAAGGTTTTACGACTTGAGTAGGAACGCATCCTTTTGTAATTATGGCCGCGGCCATATTCTGTAGTGGCATATCAGTGTTAATGAGCGATAGCTGTGCATACCTTTACACTGCTGTTCTGCTTCGTGTTACGTTTAGGGTAAAATTTGCCAGGTCATGGTCACTGCACTGGCTGGGCGCGACATCCGTGCGTTGGATTTGGTTCGGAGAGTCAGCGATGACTACGTTCACGATACTAAATCCATGTTCACCATAACACGATGACTCATATCCGCTGAATAGATGGAACGCGGGTGCAGACACGGCTTAGGTGAGCGAAAAAATGGCGAAAAAAGCGAAAGAAAATCATCTCTAACGAAGGCAACGCACGTCGCACCTGGCTTGCCGACTGAATGCATTGTATACTATGCATGGCAAAGGTTTCATTTACGGCATTCTTGCGGAACGGTCTTTACCACGCGCTTGCTGACAGGATGCCCGCCGTAACACGCAGACGTACCGAGGCCTTTGCCGATTTACCGGAACTGGGGTTCAGCCTCAGACTGCCACGCCAACTCAGAGGGGGGCCGTGTACTCGGGGTGAGAAACCGGACCGTAGGGTCTATCTAAACGTAGCCCATCAGCCCACGGCTCTATGGCTGCGGGCGCTGGTTAATCAGCGCCAATGCCGCAGCAGATGCAACGTCAATCCTGGGACAGGGCGATTACTCCCCAGTTGCTGCCATCGCCTGTGAGGGAACAAGTCAAAGACAAGCCTGTCGCAGTCAGGTTGCAACGAATAACCTCTCGCCAAGATTACAAACGTTAGCAGTTTGCCTTACAACCATTCTGGGTTCACTTGTATCTTGATCCAGACTCTTTCTGCTTTCAAGCTATGCCCAACGGAGTTTCTCCAATACTGTGTGCAATAGCTAGTAATGCTGCCCAACACTCGGGCTTGTGAGCAGGACGTCGTCTGTGTGCACGAATACGGGCTCGAAGTCCCCTAGGACCCTCCGCATGACGTAATACAAAAAGTACGATGACTGCATGCACCCAATGAGCATTCGCCGAGGGTAGGACGTTTTTCCCAGCGCGTAAAACGCAACAAATTTGCTCGACTCCTCTGAAAGCTGTAGATTCCAAGGCGAAAGTGTTGAAGCGACGTTCCACCCATGCAGAGAAAAGATAAACTGATCAATTGTGAGGAGGACAAACTGCCTGGGAACTAAAACCCCCAATCGTCAATATGATGCCCTGCATAATCCGAACTCATTATACCAGTTTAGAATCAAAATGATGGGAGAGTTTCAATGGAAGTGTTCCCCTCCTCGAGCGTACCGCACGCCTGTAAGCCATCAAGCTGCGACCTCAATTCGTCTTCACGGCCCCATGGAATTTGGTGTACCAGTATTAAACGAGGCCGGGGGCAGACCCAGGATATCGTCAAGGGGTGGGGGGGGGGGGGGGGCGGGGGCACGCAACATTGTGGATCCTCATAGAGTTTAGCCCCCCCCCCCCAAAAAAAAAGAACTCCGACCATCATAGTTTTTAGTTCTCTCAAGATTCTTAATGTGATGTTTCTGTACGGAAGCCCATTTTACTGTGTACATCCCTAGAAAACAAGTCTTGCCAAATATACACATAATACATATACATGGAGTTTATTCATTTTCTCCAAATCATGGCAAAGTCTATCATTTTGAGACGAAGTTTGGTTGGAAAAATTGGCAAAAGAAGCTGAATTTTGCCGCTAAATACCATTAAAATTAAGCACGAACTTGATTGCTAGCATCTTTGCAGCTAGCCGGCTGGTCGATGTGATCAGCTGCTAGCTGATGACTAATGCAGAGTTTTCTCTTTGTTTGTTATGAAGAATTACAAAATATCCTAGCATTAAAATGTATGATATAAAATGGATAATGATGTTACGCATAGGATGACAAGTATAACAGCTGTCGCAAGTTCGATAACTAACCAAACTATCATACACTACGTTAGCGGCACGTAAAACTGTCTTCAACCATTGCGCGTAAAAATTCATCGGCGCATATCCGACTACTGCTCTGAGGCTGAGGCATCAAAACCAACAGCGACGAAACCTGAGCGATTATGGATCCCGCGGCAGGCCAACAATGAAGCTTCCATCAACTAGTATGGGATCCTCAAGAGCACGCGAAAAGAACGCAAGACCGGAATGTCAGGCCTCTGAACAATCCGGAGTGCCCTGACAGGGTGACATATAGGAGCTCGGCCAGAGCAAAGGGCCCTTTGAGGAAAAGGGCCGGTGATTCGTGAACGCACCCAAGACCAGTGTGCGTGAATGAATGTCCTGTGCGATCAAGGGTGCCCGGGCAGGTTAACGGAAAGGGCCGCGATGGGAGTGAGGGGTTCTCCACAAACGAGATCAATGGGAAACATCCCCAGATGAATATAGACTGTCTCTTTGCGTCGAGTGGCTCAGTGCCTTACCTTTTATTGGTCCCAGCAACAGCACAAGGGCCTCCGAGCAAGTGGAAAGAACCCAACACTATCATTAAGGGCCTCTGAGAAGCTGAGTTTACCGCGACTTATGGGGCCCCAACAAAG